ACTATGGCGGGGAAAATTTTGTATATACTACAGCGGTTCAGAATTTCCGAAGTCGTATATACGACAGATGTACTATGGCGGGGAAAATTTTGTATATAATACAGCGGTTCAGAATTTCCGAAGTCGTATATACGACAATTATACTATGGTGGGAAAAATTTTGTTTCTACTACAGAGGTTCAGAATTCCCCGCCATCGAAACTGCGACAATTGCACTATGGCGGGGACATATAGTATATACTATTGCGGTACAGTGTACCCCCGCCATCGCATTTACGACAGCGGAAAACCAACTCTGGCGAAGATTTAATGTTAGCTGGGTATCAATAAGCCACAAGAAGCACTAGAAATAAAATTACGTTTGCACTGTTTACCTGTGCTCCCATCAGCTGACTTGGTGTAGAACAAGGGTTTCCACCGGAATTCCGGGTTACGGTTTACGTACGGAAATGATCCGGAAATTTTTTCCATTTCCATTATGGAAAAGGTTCCGGAAAACCGGAATTCCGGAACTATTTTTTTTCCGTAAAAGGGAAATTTCCGGAACGTTGTTCCAGAATTACAAATCGTTACGGAATTCCGGAACGTTCCAGAAAATTGTTCTCGAAATTTTCCGGAAAATCGTTCCGGAAATTTCCGGAACATTTGGTACCAGAATTACATTAAAGTCTTACATATGTAAATACAACACCAGTTAGTAACACTAACAATATATGGATGGATGCCGGAGGGTAGAAAAAGTTATACTCAATAATCAATATTCAAACTTACTATAGTGTGAAATGTAACTGATAAACCTGGGGGGGGGACTCTACCACTAGCAGGGCAATAGCTAGCGGGGGGGGGGGGGGCAATGATCCTCGATTTTTTTCTTCAAATTTTCAAACTTTGTAAATATGAATTTAATTAAAATAAGAAAAATTCTTTAAGTTCCGGTTTACGGAATGGAAATTTTTCCGGTTTACAAAATGGAAACTGGAAATTTTACGGAATGTAAACCGGAAATTTTTCCGGTTTACGAAATGGAAACTGGAAATTTTACAGTTTCCATTCCGTAAAACGGAAATTTTTCAGAAATTTTTCAGAAACTAAAAGTTTATTGTAGTAAAATGAAATATTTCAACTGACATAAATTTTTCAGATTATAACAAGCATGAGCATAGTATAGAAAAGTTTCACATTGAATTTTGTATTGTATTTCTCAACAACCCCTTTTTGGAATATCGATATTTTAGATAGATACAGGAAGGAGAATTCATTTAATTATGAACACATTAACATAGTTGAACATTATTTAGACTTGAAATATCACTTTGTGATAAGAAAAGTTTAAAGTTTACATGTTCAAGATGTTTAATGTAAAAGATATAAACTAAAATGTTTAGTTTTTAAACATTTTGTAATAATTATAAACTTTTACACAGTATATTTTATAATATATTCATAAATCAGAAATCAATTACGTATCCCCCCCCCTTTCCCGGGGTTTTTAAAAATGTAATTAAAGTAGATGGGAGAAAAATAATTTTCCCATGTAAAAATCCCGTGTTCATCTCGTGAAATAAACTCAAGTTTTCGCCATGTAAAAACTCGGTCCTAGACCCGTGATCAAATGGTCGACAATCACCTCGACAACATGTGAATTATCACGGGATAATGACGGGTCACTCGTGTGAAATAAACCAAATAATCTTGTGTTCTTCACGGGTTTTTGTTTGTTGGGTGATCTAAGAATCGGCTAAAATGAACTATGCCTTGTTTCTCAGCTTTTGTTGACCAAACCAATCTGAAAACAAATTGAAAATTTAGTTTAAGTCAATACAGATGCCATAAAACCCCGATAGATGTCGAAAATTTTGTTAAAAATGCATTAACTTAAAATCTCAGAAAACAAAATTTTACAATGTGATTACCATTTGAGGTGGTGGTGATTACCAATTGAGGTGGTGGAGAATGCCGCAAAACACGTTTGGGTGGCGGGGATTTCTCAATGAGGACTTCTGCACCACCTTCCTATATCTATAGGCAGAGTACATAATTTTTAATCCGGGATTAAGTCATACTTAAGAATTTCCGGTTGTCTTTACAGTCTCATCCTTAAAGATAACAATTTTCTATGCACTGGATATCATCAAATTTGCTAATTTAAAAAAAAAACATGAAACTGTCTAGATACTAGAAAACGTTAAAGCAACAAGAAATTATTTTTTACAACATACCAAGTTTCTTTGCACTTTGCCAAAATCACTTAAGTTTCTAAGAACAGAAAACAGAAAATTCAAGCTAATTTGGAACTTTGTTTAAAAGCAAAGTTAATAATTTTTAATGTTTAATATAACAAAAAGTAGAAGGAGATGAAAGTAATTACTTTAAATTTATCTTTGATTAATGCCAATGATCAATTGACAATGTATCTAAAGCTATGTTTTAATGTTTTAAACTATTTGTAAACCTGTAGTAATTGCCGAACTCTTAAAATCTGTATCAGTCCAGGAACAACCCCTCCGCTATAAATGTCAAACAGGACATGATCCACCATGGCTACAATCCTGTGAACTCTCAACACCACAACCACTGGGGGTGATCTCTTTAGCTATCAATGTCAATACGGACACAAGCAATAAATTAATTATCAGAAGATCAGAGAATCATATTTTATCAACCAGTTTAACACAACAGCAAAAGGACTAAACAAAAAAAGATGATACAACTTTCTGTTGTGGCTTTAGTGTGGTTGTTTTCTGTTTAACTAATTTAGTCTTTGTTGTTGTACTATAGTTGTTTTTCTTATATGCTAATTGCAAT